CTTCAGTTCTCACTCAGTTACATGTCAAAATTGATAAGTAGGGCCACCTACAGGTGAAGGACGGCTACAATTTGTTTGGCTTATGTGCACTAATTCAGGAACTGACATCATTGAAAGTTTATTATAACGCACGAGAGAAGTGTCCTTATGGTCAAGGTTCGTCATTTCATGTACAAGAGATAAGGACTGATAGACTGCAAATCTGAGAACGTCGCTCGGAACTGTCAGGAATTAAGTTTCATGTGAAGGTCTAAATTCTATTTTATGGAAGTCTGCTATTAACGCGACGAGGATTCCTAAGTCACTAAGGCCAAAGACTTTTGAACCCCTTCCCCTAAAATAGTAGACACGAGCCATGCACCCTCTAGAGACTTTGGAAATTAAAGGTATTTTTAGGAGCCGTCAGCACAAAAATTGATTATAAAACGGCTATTAAGGTGATAATAGTCGGTTTTATTTTCAATATCCCACTACATGTTTCGATCTGCAGAGATCATCATCAGCTGGTTTTTTAATACATATCCTTCGTCATCGAATTGTCAGCTGAAATGGGTCCATTTTTTACATTTACTTTTCATAAATAAAAACACTGATGTTCATGAATGAGGTATGTTATATGTGGAAGGTTAAAATCTAGTAGCTTCAATAATTTAGCTATTATTTTATAAGAATTAGCAGGGGCGGGATTGTAGGAGAGCTTCGTAGTTGCGGGCGTTTTTGATGTGCCAGAAGTTTTCTGGCGTGTGAAGGTGTGCGGTGATCACTCAGCAAAAGGAGTTTCTAATAATATAGGTGGCCATGTGGTTTCTGCCTTGTAGATCTGTAACGTGAATGCAGTGCATATACTGTATATGAGGGCTTTCTTACTCAATGAGTGTCTTAGCTTTTGGCGTGGGCTGCTAGGTTAGTTTTTAGTGTGTCTTGGTGTGTAGTTGGTGAGCCGGGATAGCGTACTCGGTATAGCGACTGGCTATGGGCTGGGCGACAGAGGGGTCGTAGTTCGAGTCCCGTTTGGGCCAAGAAATTTTACTTCTCCATATCGTCCAAACCGACTCTGGGGACCACTCAGCCTCCTATCCAAAGGGTAGCGGGGTCCCTTTTCCCGGGGGTAAAGCGGCAAGGTAGTGAAGCTGACCACTCACCTCCAACTAGTGCCGAGGTGGATCTGTATATCCACTCCCCCATACGTCTTCATGACGTAGTGTTCAATTAGTTAAGCACAGGGACAACTTTACCTTTACCTTAGTGTGTACTTGAAGGGTTGGAAGATGACTGAAGATAACTTGGGAAATGATGCACAGAAGTTAGTTCCTCATAACGGCCGCGCCATAGCTGAAGCGGTTAGTCGCTGGGTTCCCACCGCGGCGGCCCGGACTCGATCCCGGGTCTGGTCAAGTGGGATTTGTGGTGAACAAAGTGGCGCTGGGGCAGGTTTTCTCCGAGTACTTCGGTTTCCCCTGCCAATATTCATTCCACCAATTGCTCCACAATCACCCTCACCTATCATCTGGGGCTGGTACAATAGGCGAGAAGTGGCCGCAGAGCAAGGGACTTAGTTCCACCCCACTATCAATGCCATTACTTTTGTTCCTTATTAAAACAACCATGTCCCACCACGTCATTGCCAGACATCTGGACGATATTCTACAGACAATTTGATTAAATAAAAATGTTCTTCAAACAGTGGTCCAATCTATCGCTGTTATCATGTTAACGCACGTGGTGAAGCACTGGGTACAAAATAATTTTTCCTTTGAGCGTTTCTTTTTGCTAATGGGCTTTATGCTAGTACATATATACGAGTAATATTGTGGCATATTTTCTCGAAAGGAGAATTCATAATGCTCCTTAAAATAAACTGGAGTGGAATGTAGTACTTGAGATTGTTAACGGTATTATTAAGCTTGGACTTGAGTTCTGTTTGCAAAGTTGTATTGCCTGTTGTGTGATATAACCTACATAAAATGTCAGTTTATGAACTTCGTGATGGGCCGAGAATTTGTTCGTGTAAGTCTTCCATATCATATTAAAGGAACTGTCCAGCGGTGTAAGCGTTGTTACTAGGTCACTGGCAGATGGACAGGCATGATATCCACATGTCTACACAAGGCGTTCTTTTCTGCTTTGTGAAGAATGACCGAAATAAGAATTTATATTTAAATAACTAATATTTTTAAAATGCAGAGGCAAGAACAGACTGATGCACCAGACTGCCCACACTGCCCACATGGGCGCAAGGTAGGCATCCCCCCTCTGTGTTTAAGAGTTAAAAAAAAATTGAAATGGAAAAAAGAAGGAAATTACGGAATATGGGTAAGGAAAACTGATTTCTTAAAGAAGTTTTTCTATCCTGAATGCTCTAAATAGATCTGTAGAAATGGTTCTAAACTGCTGAAACATAAAGTCCTAAGCAATAAAAATATTCTTATACAATTTAAATGTTAAGTTTGTAAGCAAGTGTTCTGCTTGCCCCCACCTGGGAAAAAACTGTGGCAGTACCCATGACTTTGTGCTCATTTCCTGACTGGTTAGATGTGAGTTCCTCATGATGGTGACTATGAAGAATTCTGTCTTCTGGGATGTAACAACATATAGGCCAGTAAAAATCTACTGACATATTGGAGTAACAAATTGCCCCCATTTTCAGTATAAAACACTAGGCATAATCTTTGACCCTGAAAATGGAGGCGATATGTTCCTCTGAAACATCGGTAGGCTTTGGCTGGATTATACAGCGTTACATCATAGAAGATAGAAATCTTCTTGGTTTAACCAAGTTTGCTGTCTACCTGTAACTTAGAAAATTGTATGTTCTCCATCTTTTCTATATCACTTGATTGTCTATTTTTATTTTCAGCTGTATAGGCCTATCTCTTGTTCTGTTCTGAAATAACATGTGTTTAGTTTTATTCATATTTGTTGACATTTTACACCTTAAGCGTTACACTTTGGATGGATGTTATTTGTGACAAATGTTGTATATAGTATATTCCACACTTGAGATCTTTCCACATATATTGTTTCAGATACATGCTTAAAGTTCACTGATATCGTTACTGGAAAGGAGGAAATAGCATTATCTGCTTCCAGGACTATTTCACAATTTTCTGTTTCTTAGCAATCACAAATACAATTGTAATTATCATCTTCCTCCCCTTCTACCTTTCAGCAGCATCCTGTACACCTTTTCCTGCATCAGTCAAACATCTCTGAGGTTATGATGGAATTTAATCACAAGGTTACTTTAAAATTATCAGTACAACTTAGCAACTTAGTACTTAAATTCATTTCCTGCTAAAAATGATTCAGAAATCATAATAAAGAAATCAAACCAAAGTCTCATGTCTGATCTAATGCAATTTTTTTTTCTGTATCAAATTAAATATGTAGAGCTGGGCTGGTACAGTTGATATAGTAATTAGGCTACACTGAGGATCCATGATTCGATTCCTGGTGGGAGTATGGGATTTTTCACTTCTCCATAGCATCCAGACTGGTTCTTGAACCCACCCAGCCTCCTGTCCAGTGGATACTGGGGGCTCTTTCCCTGGGGGTAAAACGGCTGGTTTGTGAAATAGACTGCTCAACTTCATTTAGTGCTGAAGTTAAGCAAACATGAGGCTATACCTCCAGTCCCCCTTACTTCTTCCTGGCATGGTGCTTGATTATGCACAGAGATAAATTTATCCTACAAATTAAATGTTTGCACTGTCCAATCTTGCATTTGTGGGCTTTTGCTCTGATTAATTTTGATTAATTAGTTAGAATGCTGTAAGATCTTTTTTAATATTTACTTCATCTGAAATTAGAGTGGTACAGTTGATATTATTTTAAAATTGGGGTCATCATCACATGTGTTATGCTGATGCTCCATACAAGCCAGGCAGGTATAATATTACATATAATTTACAAAATATGTGTTATTTTTCATCAGGCATTTGTACTGTAGTTTGATTTCTAATACATATTTAGCGTGTTTGATTCTTAGCAACTAGATTAAGAAAGAAGAAAAAGGAGACAGAGTGAAACCAAAACTTCCTCTGTGGGTTACACATTTATAAACCTCAATATGTAGTTTAAAAATAATGTATATATTAAAAATAGCTTAATCTTAATATAGAAATTAACACAGCTAATATTTTGAAGAGTAGAGGTTTATGTTTGTCACCATAATATATACTCTCACATGTATGAGTGACTATAGATTGGGTTTGGATTGATAATTGGATTTACTGGCCCCTTTAGCACAACTTGTGACCACATTTTACAAATTACTGTCACACACAGACTAGCATTCTCAGTCTGTTATAGTCTCCACTAGTTTATTTTCTGGTAACAGCTTCCAAAGATGGATGTGTCCCTTAGTCTGCATTCCCGAACTACCCCAGCTACCAGGGTCTAACAGCAACTGTTCACAATGACCAGATTGCAGCAGTCCTCTAACTGATTGCTCATCAACCAAATCACTTCACTCCACTGTACCCATTTGGGTCATATAGGCTCAGAGCAGATCCACAGGGAATGCCCCTTGCAACCCCTCTTCTGTTGCGTGACATCACCGTGTGCATGATGCATTCCTCTGTTGCTTGTGTGGGCCATTACCTAGCAATGGGTCTACATGCTACAATATTTAGATGCAGAGTAAAAGTAGTAACTTACATTTTACACCTGGATCTAAAGAAAATCAGTTTGCATTACATACGGCATAGTTCTCTGTATGTTCGTATTTTCCTTATATTCCAGAATGAACTTACTTTCTGGCTAAGTACATACAAACTGCCACAGCTGTGCCCAAGAAGACTTACCAGATATCTTAGCATATAGAGACTATGACAGTTGTGTCAAATATGACTCACTTTAAAATGAAGTATTAAGTAGGTGGTAATCGGGGAGCTTTTGACTGAAAAAGCAAGAAAATGTAAATCAGTTACTTGTATCAATAATAATTTGTAAAAGACTCTGTCCTAATCGTTTTTTCTATATTGAACTCATTGTTATAGTATGCAGTATCTACAATTGAAGCACCACGCTCCTTCAGCATTGATTATGAAAACAATCAGTTCCTCCTAAATGGAAATCCATTCCGATATGTGTCTGGATCATTGCACTATTTTCGGGTGCCACGAGCTTATTGGAGAGAACACTTGCGTAAACTGAGAGCTGCAGGGCTCAATGCTGTTTCCACGTAAGTTTGCAATTCAAGTTGATAAATAATGTCTTTGTTATAATAATTTGAAAGGGATTATGTCTCAGGTATAAAGCATTCTTCAGTATTTACTCTCTAAGGTACATTCATGTCAGTTTTCATGTTTGAACCTACATCTGTTTTCTTGTATAATTCTTGGCATAATTCATGTAATGTCTAAGAGCCTATTTTCCTAATAATTTTTAAGCAGTGTCAGTTATTTTTTTTGTTGTTAGTGTAAATATATGTAGATTTTAGGTGTCATTCAACGTTATTAGTGATAATCCCTGAACAAGAAGGTGCTGCAACTAACTAACTTTGTTTCACGCTCAGACTATAAGTACAGTGGTGGCAATGAGAATTTGTTCCAGGAGGGAGACTGCCAGAGAATTTGCTCACTAACTTGCAGTTATGCTATTTAAGAAAAACTTTCTTATTGCCTTAGAATATTCAGGATAGAAGGATATTTGTTCTAAACACATTTTATTTTTATTATCAATATTTGGCATATTTTGTCCTTTTTTTAACTCGGGGGGGGGGCAGATGCATTCCTGACCACCCTCTACCTTTGCTGCTGCCAGCCATGTCACATTTAGTAACATTTCTTTATGAAATGTTATATATATATTGTGCATTGTACATGGATAGGTATGTAGAATGGAGTCAACACGAACCTTCACCAGGCCATTTTGAATTCTCTGGAGAGCTTGATCTCCAACATTTCATTCATTTGGCACAAGAAGAAGACCTCTTAGTTCTTCTTCGACCTGGTCCTTATATTTGTGCTGAGAGGGATATGGTAAGGACACCACTTTACTGGTTCTAAGTATTGTAATGTTTTAGTATAGTAGCTTAATAAAAAAACAAATGTAGATTTTCAGAACATTCACTTTTGATTGGCTCTGAATAATTATAGCGAAGACAGATAAGGGACTGGTCCTCAGAAAACAGAACATTCACTTTTGATTGGCTCTGAATAATTATAGCAAAGACAGATAAGGGACTGGTCCTCAGAAAACTTCCTATCTCTTTACCATACAGGTATCAGAAAAGACTGAGAGCCGCTGGTTTAGCACACAATACCAAATGTTGATTTTGTATGGAAAAATAAACTACTTATTTAGATGAATTATTCGTTGGTTATTGATAAATAACTGGCCAAAGTCACAAACGTGCTTGTGAAAATTGGTTAAGACTTCAACAATAATGGAGTTTTGAAATATCATTCCAAGAGAGCATTTTTAACTCTGTATATTTGGTCGTAAAAACACATACAAATATGAGAGATATACATTACATGATAATATGATATTGCACACTGGTTATTCTCCAGGGAGGCCTCCCACCTTGGCTGCTTACTGTAAAACCTGACATTTATCTTCGTACTAATGATACAAGTAAGTATTCATTTTTTAAGTAGTATACTTAAATTGATGTCAGATGTCAAAATGGAATGCAATTATAGGAAACAGAAATATAATATTGCTATAATCTTGACTGACATGTATTATCGCCATACCCTCTTGTAATTAACCATCTACACTTACGACAAATTATTTTAAATTCCCTAGCAGACTCATCTGGGCTTGTCAACCATCCTCAGTGCCATTTAAATCATAGCTTTTAACAGCCACCACTTGTATATGTTGTTAATATTCTGTACCTTTCCATTACTGTTGCTTATCTCTTATTTAGTGAGATTTTTAAAAGTTTGTTATTTTGATTAGCATGCTGTTCATTTGTGGTTAATCATTCCTTACTAAATTTGTGTGTATGAAATAATTCCCAGGTTTCCATGTCCGTTCTTTTATGAAGATTTGTAAAATGTCCATAGTGCCATCAATTGTTCCATATTCATGTTGTGCATTCGAGATGTGTTTTGCATATTGTGTAATGTCTCTATTGTGATTGTGTTCTTTGTGTCTTGCTTTGAAATCTCTATTTTGTTTGTATTTGTCACCCTCCTGTTTTACAGCTAAATTTTTCTTTGTGATGTTGTTTACCATGTATATTGGTTATTGAATATGGCTGGTGCAGAGATATTTTAGTAAAGTAGCATGAAAATATCAATTTTTATTTAAAAAATTTGAAAAGAAGAGATGGATTATATTAGCTAAAATTTCATAGCTCTGTCTCAAGTAATACTACAATTTAGAAAAATTGTCCAACTCGCCTGTGTTCATCTCTGTATTATGCATCACAAATGCATAATGCAAGCTACTTCATATTTAGTTTTTTGAAAGATGCCCTTATTCTCATGGGTTCAGATTTGAATGCATATGCACATGCAAAGAGAACATCGTGTCGTAGTCTGTTTCAAGAATTGGATATCCTCCCCCTACAAGCTCAATATTTATTGTCGATTTCCCTGTTTGTTATAGTAAATAAGGAATTATTGACATTCAACTCACAAATGCATAATTGTAGTACCAGATTTATCTGTGATCTGCATTATCCACAAACTAGTCTAACACAATTCCAAAAAGGAATATGTTACATGGGGGTAAAGATCTTTAATCATTTGCCACCAAAAATCAAATCTACGTCTAATGACTTGAAAAATTTTAAATTTCAGTTGACAGCATTTTTATTGCAAAACTCTTTTTATACATGTGATGAATTCCTTAGTAACAAATTTGCCTAGAAATAAGGATAATAGCATAAACAATTTTAATATTGCATAATTTTACGTATAGTGATGCAAGACTGTTTTTTTGATTATAAACTGTACATATATATTTATATTTGTATTGTACTATATTAGCTATGTGACTGGTTCTATATCTATTTATGTGGATTTATGGAATATACAATAAATGAATGAATGAATGAGTGGTGCAGTTAGTACTTTTACTTATTCCACCAAAATCCATGTGATTTACATAATGAAAACCTGTTAAAACTTGAACTTTAATACCTGTACATGACCCTAATAATAATAGATATATCATATCTATCTAGTTTTCTATGTTTTCTTATTCTCGATGAAATTATTGTTGTTATGAAACTCTGCTTCATACAGGTAACATGAGATACTTAAGATAGCTTGAAGAATGTTGACATAACCAAAGTAGCTTTAGATAGCTTGTGGTATAGTCAGATTAAGTTTAGGTAACTTGGGGCACATGCTAGTGTAGTTAGTTGAGGCACTATGCTAAAAGCCAGAAGGTTGAGGGTTCAATTCCCAAAGCCATTGGATTTTTAAATTGACCTAATCCTTCCAGCTGCACTATGGCCCTAGGGTTGACTCAGCTTCTAACAGAAATGAGTACCAGGAATCTTCCTGGGGGGGAAAGCGTGGCCAGTGTGTAAGGCTGACAACCTCACTGCCATCTGTGAGCCAGTTGTCTAGAAAATGTGGGAACCACAATGTCTCACAAACCTATGGACCTCCACACCTTGTTAGAGGGATAGCTTTACATTACTTTTTATATAACTGGAGTAACTCATGACAACTTAGGTAACTTGACCTTTCCCCTAGTTTTTATTTCCATGAACAGCCATGTTGAACTCTTCGGGATGTATATAAAATTTGAACTTTTGTTGGGGTTCTTGTCTTTCATTACTGTTTCTCACATGATAACAGGGTATAGTTAACATTATCATTACTGTATTTTCTAAAATTCACAGCCTATATGGAGTATGCAGAGAGATATCTGAATTATTTGATGAGCAGTGTACAAACACAGTTGTATGGAAATGGTGGACCAATCATCATGGTTCAGGTAAGGCAGATGCTAATTGTCTCTCCATCTCCATTATTTCCTGGTTGATAAACATCATACTTGCATCATTACTCCTCCATTCAGCCAATGACTTGTTCCAGACACATGTTTAAAGTATGCTCGTTCATCCCAATTTTTAAATTTCAAATCCTGGCTTTGGCTGGACTTTGTCCATCAATACATAGACAGCAGCAATGTACAACTCTATTGCAGTAAGCATAATATATTAGAACTTCCACCCCTTGAGAATGATAATATTGAATGTTGAACAATTCACATTATGCATGTCCTCTCTTCAGCACTCAACAATGAACAAGTGTCCTGACAACAGATCTACTTAGAGAGTTACTTTTTCCTGAGCATTGACATCCACTGATGTAAATTACAGTTAACTACCGTACATTCCACTAAGACAAAGCATATGCCTACTGATATAGGTGTACAAGAATTTCTGACTAGTCATCTTGAATCAAAATGTCGAATAATGTAAGTATATAGAAGCTGAGTACCATAAATACTGACCTGGCAGGATGAATTTATACTCCAGTCTGTTGTCTTTATGCTCAAGTTGAGTTTAAATTCACATAGCAACTATTTTCAGTAATTGGTAATGCTATCTACTGCATAAGTGGCAATACTTTTTTATGAATGAATGAATATATATTTGCACCTCCTGAACATTATTGTTCACATGTTCACATCATATGTTCCCTAATAAGCCTTTCATATTTTCATGGATTTTTAGACACTAGATCAGTGTTTTGCAAACTCTTTTTATGTATGAGCTCCTTTCAGTTTCAATCTTACATAACAATAAAAATGCCATAGATGTAAAGGGCAGATGAGGGCAGTGTCTGTATATCACACATAACAGAAATATATGCTAAAATAATTGAAACATATTTCTACTTTACTAGTAGAATGACAAAATGAAGGAGGAAAAATATGTTAGGCATGTAGCACATATGGGAGAGATGAGAATTGTGAACAGAACTGTAGATGGAAACAATAAAATGGAGATACCACTTGGGAGGCTGAGGGAGCATATATAAGTGGATCTTAAAGAAACAGAGTGTCAACTGGATTCATCCAGTTCAGTATATAGGCCAGTGGTGGGCTGCTGTGAACACAGTAATGAATGAACCTTAGGGTTCCATAAAGGACATAACATTTCTTGGCTAGCTGAGTGACTACTAGCTTCTTTACTCCACAGAGTTAGTAAATCAATCAATTTACACCAATTCTTAATTTACTTGACAGTGAGTTACTTAACCTATTTAATGCTTTCCCACTATCCCCAACACTGAAAAAGTCTAGACATTTTTACTTTTCACATGCTGGTCATCAGTTGCCACTTAACCAATGTATGTGATACAACAGCATAAAATGTCCTTCTGTTTACCAAAATTATAATATGCTGCAGCAATGGGGAGCTTGAGCGCATAGTTCAACAGAAATTCTGTAAGATGTCTCGTTCAAACCATGTGGAAGGTAAACCAGTGCACAAGATATACTCGTATTGTCAGAATATATTAGTGACTTATACAAATGATTTATATTGCTTCTTTCTTTTAATTTGAATTATGCTGTATTAAATTGTATATTGTCGACATTTTCGATGACAAACTTTAGAAATTCAGAGTAATGGAGAGGCAGGAATCAAGTTCAAGTGTATGTCATATTTGTTCCAGAAATATCCACTATCTGCAGACTGTACCCAGCTCTTCATCCTAGAATACCTCTCCCAGTTTTCAGATATATTTCAGGTGCTTGTAATTTCTACATACAGAATTAAAACAATGAAAGAATCCAAATGAATACAGAGAGGCAATCATGGAAATTGGGAACAGCAGATAATTTCATGTCTGGGAAGAATGATTTGGTGTGCCCCACTTCATGCATTCCAATTTGAGTACTGATTGAAATTCCACTTATATTCATTGTTAATATTGTGCTATACACTCAATCGCTACTTTAATCCCCCTAGCCATTGTTTATACAGGGCACATTAAATGAACGAATAATCTCAAGGTCATGTCTACAGGTTCATCAGTCAGTCCATATGCTTATTCCCCAAAACTGGTCTACTCTAAAAGTTTTTAAGTCCATCATAAGTCCTATTCTTCATGAAGCTCTTACTATTGGCTCATTATACAAAAATTAGTACATTATTAAAATATAGATCTAATGAAAATGAACTATTTTTATTAGAACCATTGTTTTTGTGTGTGGTATATATTGTACTTACCAATGTACAATAAGAATTATTTTGTGCCTTTACATGTTGAACATTTGAAGTGCTCATTAGATTTGTATTTGCAGTAAACAAACTTGTGGAATGAGGCAGTATTACTGTGAAAAGTGTGCTGAGAAATGTGCGTATTTCAAGCTGGTGTACATCCTTCTACTCTTGAGTCACTAAATTAAATACTTTCCACAGTTGTTTATAATGGCAATGATATGTCTAAAATTATTTTAATGAACTCTTGGTGCTTGGTGGTGGGGTATATCTGGCAGAAAAATTTATTTATTCTAAATACTCTTATCAGATTGAAAATGAATATGGCAGTTACAAGGCATGTGATTCAAACTACACAGCTCGGCTTCGGGATATTGTTAAAAATATTGTGGGTAATGCTGCTGTGCTATACACTACAGATGGAGCTGGATCATCATATCTTAGATGTGGGAAAATTGAAGGTGTATATGCAACTGTAGACTTTGGAACAGGTAAGAAGTTTGTGTGTTTTATGCTTCATTTTCTGTAAGTGTTTAGTATACTTGTTCCATACAAAGAAAATGCTGGGCTGTTGTTTAGTCAACGAAACAGATATACTGGAGCCAAAAATTAGAAATAAGATTGGTCATTCATTTTAATTTATTGATATGCTGCTTAATTATATCTTCTCAAGGTATCTACATAAATCAGTTTAAAGATTTCAGAAAGAAGACTCAGAATTATCACATATTCACGTATGTGCACTGTGTCAGTAGTGTAATACATAAAATTGTTTTGACTAACATATTGTGATATTTCACAGTTGTCAATTAATTGAACTCCAGAGAGCAGAATCCTTTCTTAAGAACTGTATAGTCACTGAGTGGAGGAATTCCCCTGTATATATGGAACCAAAATGTTCAGTATCATGTTCTCAAGAACCTGTCACAATACCCTGTCCTGAGTCAGATGAGTCTGCTCCACATCTTCCCACTCGATTTCACTAAGATCCATTTTAATATTCTGACATGATGACTGACTTCATCTATGCCTATATCTCCCAAGTGATTCATGCTCTTAAGCTTCTCGAACTGAAATTTAGTATACATTTCTCCCTTTATGATACATGTCACACCCATATAGTTCTCCTCAATTTCATCTCATAAATATCATCTCCCATGCAAAAAAAGTAAAAAGTAAAACTATCCCTGTACCAGGCCGTGAAGGTCCATAGGGTTGTGAGACGTTGAGGGTCCCACATTATCTAGACAATCAGCTTAAAGATGGCGGTAAGGTTGTCAGCCTTACATGCCGGCCGTGCCTTACTCCCCAAGAAAATTATGCGGTAGCGTAGTTGGTCGAGGGGCTATGCTACAAGCTGGAAGGTCGCGGATTCAAGTCCCAATGAGGTCATTGGATGTTTTTCAGTTGACCTCATCCTTCCAGCTGCACTATGACCATGGGGTTCACTCAGCCTCTAACAGAAATGAGTGTCAGGAATATCTCCCATGTAGAGCACAAATTATATAGCTTTCATTATTCAATTTTCTCCATGCTCCTATTATTCCTTTCTTCTTTGTCAAATATTTTCCTCAGCACCATGTTCTCAAACCCCTCTGAACCTAAGTTCTTCAATTATGATAAGAGACCAAGTTTTGCATCTGTATAAAAGGACCAGTAAAACTATATGTATATGCTAATTTTTAGGTTTTTGGAGGATACAAGATTATGAACTGAACGGCAGCAAGAACTGTGAAAATGTAATTGTCTCTTAACTTCTTCATGAATATAACTTTAATTTCTTACTGTCATTTCCAAACATTTGAACTATGCCACATTTTAAAAGACTTTATTAGATATGTTTGTGTTACAGTATTGTCCTGCATTCAGGTGACCAATCTGGAATATTTTTTCTGCATTTATTTTCATACTAACCTCTTTACAAGTATCTAATGAAGTTTCTGTGTTTTCTTTTGTGGTATTTATGAGTTCTTCCAATAAACTGACCTTGCCATAAACAATAAGATGATTGTTCCATTTAATTTCAACCCCCTTGATTTACTTGAACATTTCTAATGGTGAATTCTAAAGCAAAATTGAAGTAACTGATTTTAGCTGAGCAGGTGAACATCCTGCAGCTGTCAAAATAGAGTATATCATTGTATTGTGTAGAATGTGGGTTTACTTCATGTATGGAAGATGGAGGTTTCATCCACAGATGGGAGAAAGTAAAGTAGCTATTATCCTGTACCTTTAGTCTGTCTTAACTCTGTATGATGTGAAGAATGCCGTCTTCTGGGATGTGGCGCCATGTAGATCTTGTGTACAGACATTCCTCCAAAACGTTGGTTCACACAAGATCTACATGGTGCCACATCCCATTGTTCATAGTCACCGCCATGAAAACCTCATATCTTATATACTGTATGATATGAATTGTATTTCTTTTATCATTTGCTTTATTTTTTATATTGGCTGCTGTTGCTGCTACTAATTGATCATTATTTTAGTAAAACATTAGTTATTGATATTGGTGTTATGAAGTCTGTTCTTTCAGTGATGGTAGTGTATCATCAGTTCAGTCCCAAAACATACAGTTACAAAACTGTCAGGACATTCACCTAAAATTCCAAAAAATAACATGCATTGTAGAATCAACTAAGTGAAAAGCATATACGAGTAATACAGTAACAATAAATGGGATACCTTCTCTAGGGCACTCACAAACTGAATAAGTATGAATTTTGGAATTGGTTTGTTAAAGTTCCTAGAATATCTCTCACATTTTCATATTGTAGACTTGATCTGTAATGGCTTGGCTGACTGAACGCCTTCTCTCCATGTTTAATAATACTGTACGAATATGTATGATTTCCGTCATCGGCATTGTTTATGTTGTATTCTGTATTACATATTTCTTGTAGGTACAGACGTGGATACAGCATTTTTGGCCCAGCGGATGTATGAACCCCGTGGACCACTCATAAACTCGGAGTTCTATGCAGGCTGGCTGACTCACTGGGGAGAGGCACTCCAGAGAGTTGACACTGATGCAATAGTGAAAACTTTGGATGCAATGCTGGCACGCAATGCTTCTGTTAACTTCTTCGTGTTTCATGGAGGCACCAACTTTGGATTCTTGGCAGGTGAATTCCCCAGGTTCCAACTCAGAAGTGTCTTTAACACAAGGCATCTCTATGAGTATTTCTCTCATCTGTTGAGTTTTATTATTCATTCAGGGTGGTAATCTCTTTTCCTAGTATTCATTTGATTTGTGAATGTGATAGTCAACTTGAGATTCAGAAAGAGCTTCATAATCTGAACTCCTCACCGAATATTATGGAACAATGAAATGAATACAAAATTTTAGTTAGAAAATATGAAGGGAAAAGAGACAGTTTTAAAGAACTAGGCATAAATGGAAGGATAATATTAAGAAGGATCTTACAGAAATAGTGTATGAGGGTATGGACTTGTTACATCTTGTCAGGATACAGACCAGTGGCAAGGTCTTGTGAACATGTACTGAACATAAGATTGTATTAAGATATGTCATTTCTTGCTTGTCTGAGTACTGAGTTTTCAAGGACTGTCCTATGAAATTAGTTTGTTAAAGGGAGTATGGTTGATCTACATAGATACACTTTCGAAATTTCAGTCCCAATTATATTATCAACTCTTTTTAAGAGGGGTTCTCTCTCCTCCACCCACAGTTGATATGAATATAAAACAGTTCAAAGTGATAGAGATTTGCTCAGATTTAGGTTAAATCAAAGCGGCCTCCGTAGTCTAGAGGTAACGTTCCCACCTCATGACTCGTAGTACGCGGGTTCAAATACCCGGTGGAGGTCGTCGAATTTTTAAGGGCAGAAAAATTCAGGGAACAAGTCCTCCAGGAGGGAGTTTAAGCCATGAGTCCCGTGTCGTAGCTTTACGGCACGTAAAAGAACCTCATATCTCCAAAGGAGGTCACTGAGCCAAATTACAGACGTTTCCCGCCCAACAGCAGTCTCTAATACCTCTGGTAGATGGGGGAAGCATTATAGATACCTCTCAGCTAGTAGAGCCGGTCTCGCTGGCTGGGTGTGATTGATGGTAAGCACCAGTACCGGTAGGATATAGAGACTGGTAGAAATCATAGAGGGAAGCACAATGGACCAATACAGGTCTAAGTGCATGGGGAAACCCACCCTCTCCAATAACTAACTAACTATGTTAAATCAAAGTATTATGCTAAACAGATAAATCATGTAACACACAAGTGGAGTATGTAATAGAGCAGATTGAATTGAATTGAATTGAATTTATTTACATTCTATAAATCCTAAGCAGGTTAGTACCTTTGGATACAGAACAAGTCAAAATGTTACATACATAAGTACAGGCAATTTTAGCTTAAAAATTAATATAACTTAATTTTACATCATTCTCTATTTACATTGAAGTATTCATCTAAAGAGTAGAAGGAATGAGCATGTAGATAATTCTTTAACTCTGATTTAAACTTTTTAGTATCATTGCCCAAGTTTTTAATACTTTGTGGCAGATTGTTGAACACTTTTATGCCAGTAAAGTAGACTCCTTTTTGATATACTGATAAAGTTGATGAGGGTAGGTGGAAGTTATATTTTTGTCTAGTATTCATGTTATAGACATCAGAATTTAATTTGAATTTATCTTTGTTGTAAACAACAAATAAGAGAAGCGATAATATGTATTGCGATTGAAGAGGTAGAATTTTTAATTTCTTAAATAATTCTCTACATGAATCTCTACTTCTACATCCTGTAATGATTCTAATTATATTCTTTTGTATTTTAAAAATTATTACACTATGTGAAGAGTTCCCCCAAAATATTAATCCATAGTTCATAATAGAATGAAAGTAGGCATGGTAAACCATCTTCAATGTTTCCTGTGACATAAAAGGCTTAATTGATCTCATCGCATAGCAAGCTGCATTTAATTTAGGTATAATTTGTTCAATATGTATTTTCCAAGACAGTGTACTGTCTACATGTATTCCAAGGAATTTTGTATCAAGTACTTTACAGATTAATTTGTTGGCATAACTGATGTCCAGATCAATTTGGTGGTTGTTTTTAGTTGTGAATGATATGTAATGGGTTTTATCAAAATTTAATGAGAGTAAATTGGCTTCGAACCATCTGTTTAAGGCTTCAAATACAATATTTATGTCATTTTTAAAGTTGTCAAATTTAGAGTTCTTAAATATTATACTAGTGTCATCTGCATATAGAATTGGTTTAGATTTATTGTTGATGGTTTTAGATAGATCATTTATGTAGAGAAGAAAAAGTAAGGGACCTAAAATTGATCCTTGTGGAACACCGTGCTTTATAATTCCCCAGTTTGAAAATGCATTATGACTGGAGTTTTTATTATTTATTTCAACTCTTTGATACCTGTTTTTGAGGTATGATTTGATCCATTCATTAGCTTTGCCAGTTATTCCATAGAAATTTAATTTCGATAGTAAGATATCATGATTAACACAATCGAAAGCTTTTGCTAGATCACAGAAAATCCCTCCCACAATTAATCTGTCATTGAGAGCACTTAAAATATCGTTAGTTAGTTCATAGGTTGCTTTTTCTGTTGTTAGGTCTTTCCTAAATCCAAATTGCTCTTTGACTAATATGTTGTTAGAATTTAAGTGTTCAAGTAGTCTATTATACATAACTTTTTCAAAGACTTTTGAGAATGAAGTCAATATGGATATTGGTCTGTAATTAGAGATGCATTTTCTCTCTCCTTTTTTAAAAAGTGGTTTCATTACAGCGTATTTTAAGCGTTGAGGAAAAGTACCTGATGATAAAGATTTATTACATAGATGATTCAAGGGTGAACTGATGTAAACAGAGCTTGCTTTAAGTAATTTGGTAGAGATTTCATCATATCCATGTGAATTTTTGGGCTTAAGGGATTTAATAATGTTTTCAATTTCCTTCCTTGTTGAGAATTTGAGATTGATATTTGGAAATGAATTGTTAAAGGCACGAGACAGATAGTATATTGTATTATTATTATTATTATTATTATTATTATTATTATTGGAATATGTTTTCTCAGCTAATGAAAGGAAATATTCATTAAATGCACTTGCGATAGCTTGTGGATTGTTAGTGGACTTCCCTTCAATATTCAAACTTTGTACGTCTTCATTAACAGATTTCTTTCCTGATTCAACTTTCACAATATCCCAGGTGGTTTTAATTTTATTGTTTGATTTTAGAATTTGGCTGTTATAGTTATTCTGTTTGGCTTCTTTAATGACTTTTGACAAAATTTTACAGTACATTTTGTAGTGACTTTTTAGTCTTGGATCATTACTGTCCCTACTGGCCAAATATAGTTGTCTTTTGTGTTTACATGAAGTTTTTATTCCAATTGTTATCCAGGTGGATTTGTTTTTATTTTCATTTTTGACTATTTTTAAGGGAAAGCTTGAATAAAAGATCCTCAAGTATGTGTTCAGAAAGCAATTAAATTTAGAATCAATATTATTGCTGTCAAATACATTGTCCCACGATTCATTACTTAATTTTGTGACAAAATCTGCCATCGTATGCTTGTTGATTTTCCTTACTGTTTTATATTGTTGATTACTGGGCTGAAAGTCAATATTATTTATTTCTATGAGTTGAGCATCATGATCGGATAAGCCATTTATAAAGGGTCCTACAGTATAATCTCTTAATTTTGAGTTATCAATGAATATATTATCTATCGCTGAACTAGAATTATTTTGAACTCTTGTGGGAAAGTTAACAGTACTGGAGAGATTGTAAGATGATAACAAAGAGTCTAAATGTAGTTTCCTGTTACTGTCGATGAGATAGTTTATATTTATATCACCACAAATTATAAATTCAACTTTTGAACCATGCAGTACATTTAGGATGGTTTCTAATCTATTTAAAAAGTGATTGAAGTTTCCAGATGGGGCTCTATATAAAGTCAGTATACAAATATTTGAAAAAGGAGACTCTAAGATGCCGTAAGTAAGATGCCGTAAACACAAACATTCCTAGGAAACAGCACAGGAAGAAGCCATGGTTGACCTTAAGGTTAGCTAGCTTAATCCTCTCTTCACACCCTATTATCCCAAGATACAATTTAATATTATCCTCCCAGATATGCCTAAGTATAGCTAGAATTCTCTTCCCTTGAAATTTTGTGGCTAAAGTTTTTATGCATTTCTCATCTTCCCCTACCAAGAAATATCTTGGTAAAGGATGAGAATGATGGTCTGCTTGTAGATTTCCATAATATTTTGAAGGGATAGAAGAATTACTTCTGTCAGCTATTGAATGTATATTGGATCAACATTGTTAGGAAATTTGAAATACATAGAGCTGATCCATTAGTATATGAACCTAATTCTTTTAATGTTAATATTGCTATTAAAAAGAGATGTAAATTTCCAGGTGATGAACAAATACTAGCAGCACTGTTCAGTCAGGAGGTAAAATATTTCATTCTGAGATCCATAAACTTACTAATTCCATGAGGAATAAGGAAGAACTGCTACAGCAGTGGAAGGTTTCTTACATAGTCTTACATCACTCTTATCAACTACATACAAAGTTTTACCAAAGATTCTTCTCTCAAGGTTAAATCCATATGTAGAGAAAATTATTGGGGATCATCATTGTGGATTTTATTACAAGTATAACAGAACAACTACTGATCAGATATTCTGAATTTCTCAAATAATGAGGAAGAAGTGGCAGTATAATGGCACAGGACAGAGATGTTTATAGACTTTAAGACAGCCTGTGATCCAGTTAGGAGGGAGATACTGTACAACATCCTCAATGACTTCAGTAATAATCACGAAACTTGTTAGGCTATTAAAATATATTTAAAGAAAATCGTTGTAGACCGATTATATGTGCATGCTAGATCAGCCACACTCATACCTTGTTCTCGCTTTTCAATGATTTTACATTTCATTTCTACAGTTATTTTTATTCTCTTATGGCTGTCTTTTTGCGGCTTTTTCTTCGGGGACATTTTTGCAAGGGTTATTAAACTTTGCACAAAAAAAAATCACAAATAATATGCCTGAACACACGTTCGGAAAAATGTGTGATCACAAGCGACACTAAGATGCTAGCGGAACAAGTGCTAAACACTGAATGATGTAGCAAGCGCACAATCCGGGACTTCCCCTCTCATCACTCGTTATGCGAAACGTTGCTCGTTAAGCGAGTCATTTTTTTACAATTTGTTTTGCTCGTTATGTGAATTACTCATTATGAGAGGTGCTCATTAAGCGAGGTTCCACTGTATTTATTTGTAGTCTGAACAATACCCTTTTTTGTTTTTATAATTAAATTTTGTATTAAACAAAGAAGCATTGCATAAAATAATAAATTTAATAAAATGTACCAATGATTATAGGTGCCAATTATATGAACAGCTACCAACCTCAGCTTACATCTTATGACTTTGATGCCCCTATCTCAGAGGCAGGAGATCCTACGAACAAATATTTTGCTATAAAGGAAGTCATTGGCAGGGTAAGTAACACAGGGAAGATGGTTCTTGAACTATTTAGGTGATTTAATATTTTATCAGTTTCTCCAAAAAATTAATCAAAATGGATTTTCCATATAATCTAAAATTAGACCAGTTTAGGCCTATCAGATATAAATTTATTAACACCTTTGCTCCCTTGAGGAAGCTTGGTCATTTATAGATGACATGTCCAAACTACTATAATGGGATCTGGTTGTTTAAGCTTTGCAAAGATAGCTAATGTACCCTTAAAAAATATGTGAAAGTTCAGGTGTTTGGAAATGACAGTAACAAATCAAAAATCACATTCATGAACAAATTAAGAGTATGAAGAGTACCATCTTCTGATGCTGTGTAGTTTGGTAGAAGTTTACTGACACCAGAGAGGATTGTTTTGTGTCCATCTTCAGAATCAAAGAGTAAGCAAAGCCAATAACAAGCAAGAAGCAAGTGACAAACTTCTTACCATTGCTGATAGCCAGCTACATCCTGTTGTGTAAGTCATCTTAGATAATAACCTGATGATGACATATATGCCAAAACATGTCATCCTCGACAGCAAGCTCCACTTGCTGGAAATAGTGTTATGATGACAGAAATTTAATAAATATTATCTTCTTACTGTTGCTTTCTTGGTTCACTTATTAACCCTGAAGATGGAGGCAGTACATTCTAAAAGGCTGATAAACTCCTACCAGGCTACATGTTGTCAAATCCCAGGAAAACCTCAAATCTAACAAATTAAGAGCAAATTAAACTCCAGCCTCATAATGAACCAAGCTTTCAGTTCTGTTAGCTTTTATTTACCTTGTTGCAGTACCTGCCACTTCTTGATAATACAGAAATTACTCCTGCACCAAAAGGTAATTACAGCACGGTATTATTGAGCCCTGTTGCTCCTCTGCTGGATCAGAACATTAGGCAAAAGCTCGGCAAGGAGCCACTCAGAAGCCAGTTCCCCCTTACTTTTGAGGAAATTGGTCAGCGATATGGGTTCGTGCTGTATGAAACTATACTAGCGTGGTCTGTGCCTGATCCTGCATTGTTCAGTATTCCAGGTATCAGCGACAGGGCAATTGTGCTACTGGATGATGTGAGTTTTAAAAGCTGTATTCATTATCTTTCATACTGTACTTCCTGTTATAAATATTATAATTTTTATAAAATATACACACCCCTTGACATTCTGCATACATTGGTTTCCTGTCCTGTATATTTTATATGTGGTAAAATTCCCTATTTTATCTTACACTTATTATGTACAGTACAAGAGGTTTATATGGCAAATTTTATAGAAAACAGACTTGATATGCTATTGAATAAGAACACAGATGAATACTATGATATACCAGAGACACAAAGCATAATAAAATTATCACTGCTAACTAGGTGCCCAAAGGAATTTTGAGTCGCAGTGAGAAGATTACATCAATGCCTTTGTCAGTTTCTGAAGGTACAAAAATCCAGGTTCTAGTGGAAAATCAAGGACGTATCAACTATGGCTCCATGATCAACGATTTCAAGGTGAGCCCTTATACACATTCACTTCTGTCTAAAATGCAACTTTAGACTCCTTTACTTAAAAATAAAAATTACAAATTGCTACATATTTCAGCCATACTCAGCCATCCTCAGGCAACTGTCCAACTTTTAAAAATTGCTTCAATATACTTCCAATGTAATTAAGATGAATTATTTACCCATCTTCTTCCTACATGTCTCCATCAGGCCCTTTCAGATCCACAGGTCTCCTTATGGTTACGATGTTCCCGTTGGTTTTTCATGTCTGATATTATTTTTATTAGTTCAGTTTTATTTTAAACATTTTGTTTCTTCACGTTCATTATCTTTATATTTTTTTCTTTTTACTTCTCTTCCCATCTTCCAGTCAGACCGTTTTAAATTCCACATGATTCCATTCCGTTACAATACACTCTCTAGTTCACTCTTAACCAGTCCAGACAGACTCTTTTAAACCCCACATATTTCCATTCTGTTACAATGCACCCATTGGTTCACTCCTAGCCCCCATTTTTGTCTTCCCCTATATTGCTGACTGCTTTTTCCATATATCATACTCCTCTACCCTGAAGCTTGAGACAGCATGTTCCTCAAAAATATTGATACCTACTTAACCAAGGTGCATGGCATCACATCCTGCCTGCCACTAATGTTCAGGTACATTATAATAGTCATAGTTCTCTTGCTAGACTTTAAAAAGCAGTGATCCTTTTTGCAGGGGCTTGTAACCAATGCAACACTCGGAGGTGAAGTGCTGGAAGACTGGATAATTACTGGATTTCCCCTACATGATATTTCAAGGCTCAGTGTCAGCAATAATGATAATTACACCTTCCAAGGTCCAGCATTCTTCCAGGGTACATTCACACTCCCGAGTCTGATTCTAAGCCACTTGATACATTTCTAGATCCCACAGGATGGGGAAAGGTGAGTATTTCATTAATGTAACATAGCTGTAGATGTATACAGTACAAGAGGGTGGACAACAAGTAAGTTTACAAGATAATATATCTTGAAGTGATTTTGCTAATTCATCTAGAGGGATAATACAGGGTCACTATAGGACATAGAAACTACTTTTCCTAATAGTCCCATGGAGACAGACACATGCCATGTCATGTAGCAGCAGCAGGACAGTGATTTCTATGGACAAGGGATAGCAAAACTCATACTACAGCTGGTAAATGTCTCAGTCTGCTCAGAAATATTGTTTATAAGTTGCACAATGGTGCATTATTATCCATACCAAAGATACAATAAATTATTTTAAGATATATTTCTTGTAAACTTACAGAAATATTTATAACTAAAGTTCATCTTCGATCTGCAGATTTTTGTGCATCTGATATGCCAATAGGAACTATTCATTTGACATCCAAGATAGAATTTATATGCGACTCTATTTTTTACAGGGAGTGGCATTCATTAATGGTTTCAATTTAGGACGCTACTGGCCAATTCTTGGACCACAGGTGACGCTCTATGTCCCAGGGTGCCACTTGAAGCCATACCCAGATCTTAATGAGTTAATATTGTTGGAACTGGAGAAGGCAAACAGTCCACAATATAGTGTGAATTTTGTACCAGAGCCAATATTGGACAAACAGCCACCAGTACATACTCTGACTGAACATACTGCATACTTACCAGTGCCACCTCAGCTAAATCAAGGACCAGCACCAGAGGCAAGTGTTACTGTGCTTCCAGTATAATGAACGTAACATGGAAAATGTAAACACTTCTCTTATTATTTTAACCTTTTCTGTGCTGCCTAGTCTATTTAAGTTACTGTGTATGTAAATCTTCTAATTTTCATTGTCTGAAAACTGAAAAGGATAATTTGAAATGTAAAGAGATGGGGAGGTTTTTCTGGATGATAAATGCTGCAACTGAAGCCAATCACAGTGGAAAAGGTTACATTAAAAATAAAGAAGTTATGGACAGTATATATGCTCATGTAACGTTGATTCATCAAGCAGGGCTACAAATATTGCAAGCTGTCAGAAGTTAATTCCCAGAGCAATAAAAAGGGAACAAAACAACACAAACTTCTGAAAGCTCTAAGTATATACATAAGGGGAATGTGGATTACTGTCAGTCATGTGTGGAAGGTTAATACAATAAATATATCTTCTACAATAAGACCTGTAGTGAGAGACATAGTTACTAACATGAAAACTACTGTCCCTCAGTTCAGTGATTTAACTTGGAAATTCCTTCAGTAACAAACAAAAATTAACAGTCTACTATCCTTGAATACTTCAATCTGTATGGGAAGTTTAGGAAGAAATGTGAATTATACAATTTCATAACCACCTCTATATATAATTTCCACTAGAAGGCCTAGATTCATCAAAGTACATTACATTTGTCAGATATAACTCAGAGCTTTTCACCACCACAATATTAACATGTAAATAATGATTCATATGGAACTTGTATGTTTAGTATCCATATCAGACTTCAAATGCATAGTTCTAGTGGTTTACTAGTATAATCATTAAGCCAAAAACTAAATGAAGACATCACTTGACTGCTATGCTCTTTACATTCCACAGAGTCAAAATTCTTCAAAGTCTATCATCACACAAAATTCTAGAATCATGCATTAACTGACACTAGTGTTGCTCCTACCTCAAACGTTTGTATGACTACCATGTTGGTAATATTAATGATATAATATAATGATGATATGGTCTTTACTAGTATTATGTTCATACCAAGTTTAATAGCAATCCATCAGTTGGTTTGAAAGCTACTACAAGGGGTGTTGGACTAACACAAGCACATTATGCCAAAATCTAGATTGCTGAAAAGAATCAGCATTTAGCTGACTGAAAAATTTCACTTGATATATTTGGTGACCCTGCTGTCAGTGACATCTTTAAAAAAATCATCCATCTTTTCCACTGCCTTCCACATAACACTTTACTCCACTTCTCCCCACAACTCTCAAACAGCCAGCAAGCAATTCACATTAAAGAAATGCTATTAACTGGAACTGATCTAAATTATTTGACTGCATTAAAACAAAAACCCACTTTTTTTTTAACTTCCATGATATGTATACAGTGGCCGTCTTGTAGTGCACTCAATTTCACCTGTTACTTCACATGTTTCGGCAACTTAGTGCCATCATCAGGTGCCCTAATTACGCTAATCTACTGCATTGCTTGCCATTATATATTTAAAAAGTGCAACACTCGCAGCTAAAAAGGGAACACACATCACAAGACACAGTGTATACAGAATATAAGAAAAATGGCCCCCATAGTGGAAGAACCACATGCAAGTTTTAATTAAGACACATAAGATGAATAATCTTAACAAGTTTTAGTGTGTGTAAATTTATTATAGTTGATGAATATGCACTTTTTAAATACTTTTAAAATAATTTTATAAAGACATATAATGGCAAGCAATGCAGTATATTAGCGTAATTAGGGCACCTGATGATGGCACTATGTTGCCGAAATATGTCGTGAAGTAACAGGTGAAATTGAGGGCACTACAAGACGGCCATTGTATACATTTCATGGATGAAAATCAGTGCAACAGGACGCTAAAATACACCATTTTTTTTAACTTGCCAACAATAATAATGTTATACATATATGCACTGTTAAAATGGGAACTGAACAGGATAAGCTTTTCATAGAATACAGAAATGAGAACATGTCGAATTTGGTTGATGATGAGGCAGTAGAACATGCAACTCATTAATGGTTTATTAATTTTAGGCATAAGTAAATGCATACATAACATTAGCACAAAAGTTGTCATGAACTGTAAAACATTAGCAGGGAAGATCAAAATTCAATTCAATTCAAGTTTATTTATGTGCAAACAACACAGACGCCAATTACAGATATAGCACGAGTACACAGATATATCCAAAAATAATTAAAGAAAAAATACACAATATGAGTATATAATGGCATTAGCATTAACAGGCAAGAAAAAACTAAGTACATTTCAAGTGTATACAGCTATAAGGATTTACAAAAATTATCATTACTGTATTTAAAATAAAGAAACTTTTGCATTAGATTTACCGTTTCCTCTGTTTCACACAGATAAGCGAATGTTAGAAATCATCTCCATCTGAATCAACATCCTTGCCACGAATTGTCCGCTTCTTTCCAGCATCACCTGAAACAAATCTGTTTGCCCGTTTGGTCTCAACCGGAGGCTGTTGCAGATCACCATTGTACTTAATAACTCCTGGCTGAGCTATCCGCCATTCCATCATTTCTGTTGAGAAGTCATCGCAGTTCCCAAGATCTGTGAATCCAACTATGTAGTCCTTTACTTTGCCATCTATTATAAGTGCAATTGTAGGTATGACCCTAATGCGAAGACGTTCTGTAATAAAAAGGAAACATCTTTCAAGCAGTAAAGTCCCAGTGAGTTTGATATAGAACAAGAAGTTAGGAAATGATCAAACAAAATTTATCTTTCATCTGAAGAAACTGATATGGACATTTTTTTTGTGAGAACCTCACATCCTCCAACAAATTACATCTGTAATTCCAAAGGCCATAAAGACTTCGAACATAAAGGCAATTTTCAGTACTGAATTACGTCCATCCAACAGTCCACTTGGAAATGGAAAGAAAATTGCTGTGCAAGCAATGTTAGCCCATACGCACAAATTGTGATAGGCAATTATGTGATACAGAATATATTTAATTGCTTGCCCATAAATCCAATCGGACAATTACATGTGTAAAGTAAGTAAAGTTGTCCCTGCACGTAATTAATTAAGCACTATGCCATGAAGACGTATGGGTGAGTGAATGTATAGATCCACGTTTCCTTGACCTTGGCACTAGTTAGAGGTAAATGGTCAGATTCATGCCCCACCACTTTACCCCCAGAGAAAGAACCCTTGGTACTTATTGGATAGGAGGAAGGGTGTGCCCAAGAACCAGTCTGGACAACGTGGAGAAAATTCTTGACCCTACCGGCACTCGAACTCAGACACCTTGGTCATCCTGCCTGTAGCCAGCTGCTACACTGCCTGCGTTATCCCAGCTCCTATTACATGAGTAATCAGACAATCATTTCCTTCCAAGTAAAAATATTGTTTACTTACGTGTGATAAATGGGCTTCGTTCCACATCAATCTTGCAAAACCTGGCTTCTAAGTGGGATGTACAAAGGATTTTTAAATGATGGTCTACTATCCTACATCGAGGTGAATCATTTCTATAAAAATGGCAAACAACATTTTTTGACTTCTTTGTAACTTCAAAAAACTCCTTCTCTTCAGAAATTTCGGTATGTTCTCCATGACCCTAAAAACAAAGAGATCACACTTCTCATAGTATCATTAAGCACAGATTATGGACGGTTTCTATAGTCTTAGCCGAGACAAATGGTCTGGAATACTCTTTAGGACTCGTGTAACCTTGTCGTTTTCACATATTGTGTCCTATGATTACATTTATTACGAATTTAACTTGACCCTGAAGTCCGTTACTATTACTGGAGAGAGAGGGCAAAGAAAGGGGAAATGAATGCTGAAAAAAATACACTTTCTCTACCTCCTAACTTTCTGCTGAGAATATGTACTCGCAGAATATGGAATGGTAGGAGTAAGAAGTGGCATAATGCTGCCACAAGTTTCTCACCAAGACTAGCCACTCCTGTTGCTGTTGTGCTTGTTTCTTCAATTTCCTCAGTCGCTGTTCCCTGAGCGTTTCTAAGTTATCTGACTGTAACTTGTCCAGCCTATCAAGCTCAACATCCAGCTGCTGTTCCACTGTTTGTGTTACCTTCAACAAATTTTGCTCAAGTGCCTGTTCTAGAGATGCCATGTTGATGTCTAAAACAGAACAGTCATGAGGATATGTCATAAAAATGCATAACAAGAGCGGAACAGTGTCCCACGTTTGAATACATATATTTTACAGATAAGTTCTTTGAAATTCTGAGTGCATCACTGTCCTTCATTTTCATTTACTGCTTATACAGAGCTCCCAGTGTGATAATATTTATTTATGCTTCATATTATTGAATTCTGTATTCTCACAGATTAAAATCTTGCAATATCCTGTCAACATTTATACATTTATTTAAATTTTGACTATATCAAGTATGTACTGATTTCTGTTACTTTCCACTATTTTTAGCATACTTTTCTTATTTTGAAAAAAAAAAAAACTAGTCTTATGAGATCACTATGCTGTCTGTAGGTCTGTGAATCACCCCCAATCAACTTTTGAATGCCTAAACTAGTCTTTATGAAACTTGGTATGTATATCATTGCACCTGGGCCCATGTGAATGGCATACTTCATAAATGCCTCCCACCAGTCTGTGTGTATGTGTATGTTGCTAGGCAACAGCAAAGTAAAAATGTAACCATGGCATCAAAAATGCAACAATAGAAGAACTGTCAGATGAACTTTTTCTATGAAGTTTCTGCCTTATCAAAGAAACGTCCATGTCTGTCTGTATAGCTCTCTATTGTTGCTAGGCAAAAGCTCAGTAAACATATTCCCACAGCAACAAGTAACTGTTTGAGGCACTGTTTTCTATGTTGTCAATGTCATATCAAAGGAAAACAGGTGAGTAGTTCTTCCCTTAACGTCTTGTTCTAATATATCTTACTTTTTGTGAATTTAAAGTCCCATTTCCTCTATCCTTAAATATTTAAATGTACTTAAATCCTCAAGCACTGAGGGGTAACACGGTTTTATCTAATATTCCACAGTCTTCAAAAGCAATGCTACCTTCTTTTCTGTTCATTTTTTAACAGTCTGTACGTCTCCTTGATACATAATCATTTTATCTGAACTCTCAATAGAGAAGGAAGTTTCCTCTCATCAGGCTGTCAACTACCAAAGATGTTTGAAGTTGAAAATGTTAATATTCTGATATATTTCGTTTGCACCATGTTGTGCAGTCACCAAGAACAGATGCATAAACTTCAATCATGACCCTATTTTGTATCTTCTCTGCACGCAATAAAATGATAATGCCGCAAAACGAATGATAAACCATGCCAATAAACGGAACATTAGTGGTACAATGCAATCATGAAAAGACTCCCTTTTGATCCTCTAGGAATAAGGTGTTTACTGTGCATGATGTTTGTTCCCTCTTCTGGGCCTTGATCGTTGGTAGTATTGCCATACTAATGTAAGAATGGTAATAAAATGATAATGCCGCAAAACGAATGATAAACCATGCCAATAAACGGAACATTAGTGGTACAATGCAATCATGAAAAGACTCCCTTTTGATCCTCTAGGAATAAGGTGTTTACTGTGCATGATGTTTGTTCCCTCTTCTGGGCCTTGATCGTTGGTAGTATTGCTATACTAATGTAAGAATGGTACAATAATTAACCATAATCCAAAGAAAAGCTTTCACTGTCATCAGACCCAACCATAATCACCTAACTTGTCATTTAATAGGAATTCTAGGAAAAGGTCATGACATGGTCTAAGGAAGGGGAGAAAACAAGGCAGATGCATCCATCATAGAACTTCTTGCAGAAGCTGCAGAACTGTATTTTCTGCTTACTTCTGGCTAGTTTTCAGAAGTCTATAGAAAACTATCCTTTTCGGTGTGGTCTGTATATGCTGTATAATAATAAAACATAATGCATATTGTCCTTTTAGGTTTATAGTGTAACTGCCTGCAAAATATGATAAAATTCGTTATGCTACCTCAAATGTGTTAATATACACGTATACACATCCAAGTTTATCACTCCTTACAAAGAAATGTCACCATCAAACTCCAAACTTGTCCCCCCCCCCCAACACACATGAATCACTGCTTTCCAAGCCCTGTATACTTATTTGTATCTTATTAATTATATATAATTGTGTTATCACCTGCCACAAATCTTATTTGTTTAGGTTTGTAAAGGTCGACAATTTGTTAAAATTCCAATGCACATGATCTGTGGTACTCCACGTGTCACAAATTAACCTCTTTATAACTTAAAACCTTATTGAACTATGAAAAGGTATCTTCATAAGTGTGGTAACAACTACATTCTCTCTTCTAGAAAGCTATGAGGCTAACTCCCATTACGTCGTGTGAGCGATGTCCTCGAAGTACTATATATGGTCATACGGAACAAAACTTGGCAATCCCACATTTCCAGCTAATAAACTATGTATCAGACAAGTTATAACTGGGCATGCATGTAACACTGCATCTAATCTAAGCGCACATTAACTTAACAAGACTAACAATGCACACCTCAAAATAAAATATTACGCGACAGATAACACAAATTGCCGTAAACAAGCATGTACGATTTACTGAGACATCGAAAATCCAGGGATACCAACACATAAACTTTAAAGAAAGCAGTCTTCTGTGATGTGGTGTTAACCGACGTTTAGGAGGAACGTATCCCCTCCATCTTCAGGGTAGAAGGAAAAATAAGAAAATCCGCAAGCGAAGAGACCGTGAGAACCGGTACAAGCAGACTGGTGTTGGAAATAAACACAGCTATATGAGAGCATAGAAGGAGGGGGGGGGGGGGGGTACATGGAGAAG